TCAAATCCTCCCCAACTCTTCCTTTTTCCTTTGTAGAATCCTCCCCAATTCCCAAATCCTCTCCAACTCCTCATATTTCATTTGTTGAATCCTCCCTAATTCCCGAATCCTCCCCAACTCCTCCTTTTTCCTTTGTAGAATCCTCACCAATTCCCAAATCCTCTCCAACTCCTCCTTTTTCCTTTGTAGAATCCTCCGCAATTCCAAAATCCTCCTCAACTCATCCTTCTTCCTTTGTAGAATCCTCCCCAATTCCCCAAATCCTCCCCAACTCCTCCTTTCTCCTTTGTAGAATCCTCCACAATTCCGAAATCCTCACCAAACTCTTCCTCTTTCCTTTGTAGAATCCTCCCCGATTCCCAGATCCTCCCCAACTCCTCCTTTTTCCTGTGTAGAATCCTCCCCAATTCCCAAATCCTCACCAATTCCTCCGTTTTCCTTTGTAGGATCCTCCACAATTCCCAAATCCTCCCCAACTATTCCTTTTTCCCGTGTAGAAGCCTCTCCAATTCCCAAAATCCTCCCCAACTCCTCCTTTTTCCTGTGTAGAATCCTCCCTAATTCTCAAATCTCACCCAACTCCTCCTTTTTCCTTTGTAGAACCCTCCCAATTCCCAAATCCTCCCCAACTCCCCTTTCTCCTTTGTAGAATCCTCCACACATTCCCAAATCCTCCCCAACTCCTCCTTTTTCCTTTGTAGAATCCTCCACAATTCCCAAATCCTCCCCAACTCCCCCTTTTTCCTTCTTGTAGAATCCTCCCCAATTCCCAAATCCTCCCCAACTATTCCTGTTTCCGTTTGTAGAATCCTCTCCAATTCCCAAATCCTCACCAACTCATCATTTTTCCTTTGTAGAATCCTCACCAATTCCCAAATCCCCACCCAACTCCCTCTTTTTCCTTTTGTAGAATCCTCCACAATTGCAAAATCCTCTATTTTCCTTTGTAGAATCCCCCCCAATTCCCAAAATGCACCCCAACTCATCCTTTTTCGTTTGTAGAATCCTCCTCAATTCCCAAATCCTCCCGATCACATCCTTTTTCCTTTGTAGAATCCTCCCCAATTCCCAGATCCTCCCCAACTCTTCCTTTTTCCCTTGTAGAACCTCCCCAATTCCCAAATCCTCCCCAACTCCTCCATTCTCCTTTGTAGAATCCTCCCCAATTCCCAAATCCTCCCCAACTCTTCCTTCTTCCTTTGTAGAATCCTCATCAATTCCCAAATCCTCCCCAACTCTTCTTTTTTCATGTGTAGAATCCTTCTCAATTCCCAAATCCTCCCCAACCCCTTTTTTCCTTTTGTAGAATCCTCCCCAAATACCCAGATCCTCCCCAACACCTCTTTTTTTTTCTTTTCGTAGAATCCTCCCAAATCCCCAAATCCTCTCCAACTCTTCCTTTTTTCCGTGGTAGAACTCACCCCAATTCCCAAATCCTCACCAACTCATCCTTTTTCCTTTGTAGAATCCTCCACAATTCCCAAATCCTCCCCAGCTCCTCCTTTTTCGTTTGTAGAACCCGCCCCAATTCCAAAATCATCCTCAACTCCTCTTTTTTCCTTTGTAGAATCCTCACCAATTCCCAAATCCTCCCCAACTCATCTTTTCTCCTCTGCGTAATCCTCCCAAATTCCAAAATCCTCCCCAACTCCTCTTCTTTTCCTTTTGTGGAATCCTCCCCAGTTCCCAAATCCTCACCAAATCATCATTTTTCCTTTGTAGAATCCTCCCCATTTCCCGAATCCTCCCCAACTCCTCCTTTTTCCTTTGTAGAACCCTCCCCAATTCCTAGATCCCTTCCAAATCCTATTTTCTCATTTGTAGAATCCTCCACAATTCCAAAATTCTCCCAAAATCATCTTTTTTTTCCTTTGTAGAATCCTCCCCAATTCCAAAATCCTCTCCAACTCATCCTTTTCCTTTGTAGAATCCTCACCAATTCCAAAATCCTCCCCAACTCCCCCTTTTCCTCTGTACAATCCTCCCCAATTCCCAGATCCTCCCCAACTCCTCCTTTTTCCTTCGTAGCATCCTCCCCAATTCCCAAATCCTCCCCAACTCCTCCTTTTTCCTTTTGAAGAATCCTCCCCCATTCCTAAATCCTCCCCAACTCCTCCTTTTTCCTCTGTAGAATCCGCCCCAATTCCGAAGTCCTCCCCAACTCCTCCTTTTCCCTTTGTAGAATCCTCACCAATTCCCAAATCCTCCCCAACTTGTCTTTTTTCCTTTCTGTAGAATCCTCCCCAATTCCAAACTCCTCCCCAACTCCTCTTTTTTTTCCTTTGTAGAATCCTTCCCCAATGCCAACAAATCCGCCCCAACTCCTCCTTTTTCCTTTGTAGAATCCTCCCCAATTCCAAAAATTCTCCCCAACTCCCTTTTTTTCCTTTTGTAGAATCCTCCCCAATTCCCAAATCCTCCCCAACTCCTCCTGTTTCCTTTGTAGAATCCTCCCCAATTCCAAAATCCTCCCCAACTCCTTCATTCTCATTCTCCTTTGTAGAATCCTTCCAAATTCCCAAATCCTCCCCAACTCCTCTTTTTTTCTTTCGTAGAATCCTCCCCAATGCCCAAATCCTCCCCAACTCCTCCTTTTTCCTTTTGTAGAATCCCCAATCCATTCCCAAATCCTCCCCAACTCCTCCTTTTTCCTCTGTAGAATCCTCCCCAATTCCCAAATCTTTCCCAACTCCTCCTTTTTCCTTTGTAGAACCCTCCCCAATCCCCAAATCCTCCCAAATTCCCCTTTCTCCTTTGTGGAATCCTCCCCAATTCCCAAATCCTCCCCAACTCCTCCTTTTTCCTTTGTAGAAGCCTCCCCAAATCCCAAATCCTCCCCAACTCCTCCTTTTCTTTTGTTGAATCCTCCCCAATTCCCAAATCCTCCCCAACTCCTCCTTTTTCCTTTGTAGAATCCTCCCCAATTCCCAAATCCTCCCCAACTCCTCCTTTTTCCTGTGAAGAATCCCCCCCAAGTCCCAAATCCTCCCCAACTCCCTCCTTTTCCTTTTGTAGAATCCTCCCCAATTCCCAAATTCTCCCTAAATCTTCCATTATCCTTTGTAGAATCCTCCCCAATTCCCAAATCCTCCCCAACTCTTCCTTTTTCCTTGGTAGAATCCCCCCCAATTCCCACATCCTCCCCAACTCCCTCTGTTTCCTTTGTAGAATCCTCCCCAATTACCAAATCCTCCCCAACTCCTGCTCATAATTTCTGTAGAATCCTAATCGTGAAATCCCCCCCCAACCCCGCTGACGTCATTACAGGGCGCAAAAATAATTATCGAAACGATTTTTCCGGTAATGTAATGTTTTTTGCCCCTGCAGTACACATATGCCAATTAATGGAGAGACGCGGAATAACGGGATGAGGGCGGGCAGAGAGAGAAAGAGAGAAAGAGAGCTACAGAGAGAGAGAGAGAGAGAGAGACAGAGAGAGAAAAACAGATAACGAGAGCGAGAGAGAGAGGGCGACAGAGAGAACTAGAGAGGGAGAGAGAGAGAGAAAGAGAGAGAGAGAGAGAGAAAAGAACAGAGAAAGAGATGGGGAGGAGGGAAAGAGAGAGAGAGAGAGAGAGAAAGAGCGAGCACAAACAACATAACAAACACAGGCAGACACAGCGTGCACAGGAGACATAGACATACGAGAGGGGGGAGGAGAGGGAGGGGGAGAGACAGAGGGAGTGTGAAAGTGTGAGAGTGTGAGAGTGTGTGAGAGAGAGAGAGAAACAAAACAACAAAAAGAGAAGGATTGAGGGTGGAAGAGAGAGAGAGAGAGGGAGGGGGAACAAACAAACACAGACGTACAGAGAGGGAGAGAGAGAGAGAGAGAGACAGAGCGAGAGCGTAATGGATGCAGGGGCAGAAACAGAGAACGCAAAAGAAAAAGGGAGGATGACAAATGACACCCTGATGCTGAAGGGGCCCTGGGACACACACAAATAGAAACACACACACATAAAACGACTCCCCATCTTTTCCTGTATTTTCTGGGCTATCGTCCTCCCCCCCACTTCCCATCTCTTCCCATCTCTTCCTGGGCATCGACGATTCAGTGTGTCTGTGTGTTTCTTCCCCTCCCGCGATGCGTCCATCGCTCCCTCTCGGGCCGCACCTCCCTCCCCTCCTGGCCGCCCCGCCTCGGGCCGCCCCGCCTCCCCCCGACCCGCCCCCGGCCTCCGCCCCTGCCTCCCTCCGCGCTCCGGCCCCCCCCCGCCCCCTGCACCGTGCGGCCCTCCCCCCCCCCACACCAGGAGGAGAAAGAGGAGGAGGAGGAGGAGGAGGAGGAGGAGGAGGAGGAGGAGGAGGAGGAGGAGGAGGAGGAGGAGGATCCTCCCCCACCCCACCCGCCTCCCTCCGCGCTGCTCCCCTGCAGACCTCCGCCGAAGGAGTGGGCGGCAGAGGCTCGGCTGGATGCTGTTTTCCGCCTCGGAAGCCCAGCGTTGCGGCGTGCTTGGGCACCAGCCTCAGGGCCTGCGCAGCTTCTTCTGAGCTAGAAATCGGGGATGAACAGACCCCCCTTTAGTAGAACGTGGTTTGGTGAAAACGACCTGAGGCCCAAACCTGGCGGGCGCAGGCCTGGAAAATGACGGCCGCGGCGCCCTCTCGAGAACCGAAAACGGACAATTCACTAATCGACGTGTCACTGCTGGGGGTTCTGTCCACCCCCGAAAAAAGCTACTGCCCCCCCCCACTCAAACCCCCGCCCCTCGCCGCCCGCCCGCCCCCCCCCGCCCGCCTCCCCGCCGCCTCCGCCGCGCGGTGGCCCCCCGCCGCTGTCGCCCCCGCCGCCGCCGCGGCCACCGTCGCAGTCGCCGTCGTCGGCTCGCCGTCGGCTCACCGTCGGCTCACCGTCGGCTCACCGTCGGAGACGACGACGACGACGACGACGACGACGACGACGACGACGACGACGACGACGGACGACGACGACGACGACGACGCGCGCCGCCGCCAGCGGAGGGCTGCACGCGCCCGCGCGCGCGCGGCGGAGGGCGCGCCGCTGCCGCCGGGGCGACCGACGCCGCCGAGACGGCTCCGGCCTGCGGCGCGGCGGGCGGGCGCGCGCGGCGGGGGGGGGCCGCGGGGCGCCGCACCGCGGCCGTCGCGGGCGGCCGCCGTCGCCGCCGCCGCCGCCGTCGCCGCCTGCAGTAGCGGCCCGACCACAAGAGACCCTTTCACAGGAAACCCAACCCTCAGACCCCAAGACGTCCCTCCCTCCCTCCCCTCCTTCCCCTCCCTCCCCTCCCTCCCCTCCCTCCCCTCCCTCCCCTCCCTCCCCTCCCTCTCCTCCCTCCCCTCCACGGATTTATCATGTGGGACCGTCAAGCTCTCCTGCGCAAATCCATCGAAGCCCAAGAAGCCCAGGGCACCCTGGAGGCAGCCAGGGTGTTTCTTGGCATGGGTCTCCACTGTGACATAGAGTGAAGATAAATCCAGAATCTCTGAGATCTGGGGGTTCTGGAAAATGTCTCGGGCGCCACGGCCTTCTCCGAGGGTTCTGGAGCGCTCTGGGAGCGTTCCGGAACGCTCTCGAACGGATTGTTGATCCTCGTCCTGGCCCCGTCCGACCGCCCTCGCTGGTCTGCTGGCGCGGTGCTGGCGCAGTGCTGGCGCGGCGCCGGCGCGGCGCTGGCAGCTGCCCACACCCCTGCAGTCGGACCTGGGACAGAAGAACATCCTTCGAGAGCATGAGATCCTCGGCCGGCCGGCCAAACTGAAGAACATGCGAGGGTGCTCTCCCCCAGGATGCACATGAGCGTCTGACCGGCGCGAAGAACGGTAAGGTACCCTCCCCGAGCCGAGCTCGATCTCATTCCTCGGTCCGGCCGTAATGGGGTAGCGACATCGCCTCGCGAAGCGCCGCGCAAAATGGTCGCCGCTCAAGGCAAGAGAAGGATGCCCTCTCACCCCCTTGGGCTATGAGGGCAAAAACCGCGACGTCGGCATGGCGCTTTCGATCCATGTTCCTGGGACAACTCCAGTCGCACAACCCTCGGGGACACCTCCAGCCTCCAGCCGCACACCCCCTGGAAGGGGGGGCTAATTGGCGAAGTGGTCTTCTGCCCAGAGCACCTCCACTCGCACAACCCCTGGAAGGGGGGAGGCCAATTGGCGAAGTGGTCTTTTCCCCAGGGCACCTCCACTCGCGCTGCCCGCAGGAGCGCCTCCAGCCGCACAGCCCCCGAGCCCGACAAAACCAGCCGAAGTCAAAGATCATCGCACGGCAAGAAGAGAAATGCCCCACCCCCTTTGCTTTCAAAATAGATGACCGAACAACACGTACCTAGGACCCACCCCAGGTAGAGCGATACGGGATCACTAGCGGCTGAACAGAACGCAGTCGCCTCCTCGGAGCATTTTCAGGCACGGGCCCAATGGCACATGACTTGACCGCCAATCTGTAGGCAACTCCACATCCGTCTGGGCACCCAGGAGCACTGCATCTTCCGTAGCGATGGCGATCGCCCATCGCGCCTGAGGCCTACGCGGGGCCACTGCTGGCCGACCTGCGCAGAGAAGGCGCACCCAAACAGTCGCGCCGGTGACGACAGACTGCGCTCGCGAGAGCTCGCCGAGCGTCCCGAGGGAACCGTACTCGAGTCGGGCCGTGGCGAGCTCCGCCGCCGAGCCCAGTCTTGAAGGGGCCCAAGGACACACACACACACATATATATATATATATATATATAGATGCACACAAATCACAGGATCCCCCATATTTTTCCCCATATTTTCTGGGTCTTTATCTTCCCCCCCACGTCCCATACTTTCCCATCTGTTTTGCGGAATCGGCGATTCATTGTGTCTGTGTGTTTTTTTCCCCTCCTGGAATCTGCAGCATGCCGGGGTGCAGAGTGCCGGGGTGTGGCCCCCGCGGCCAGCACGGCGCCTCCGATCGCGGGCCTTCCGAGGCGGCCTGCGGAAGTTCCGTGGGGTCGGATTGGCGGGTGAGCGCGGCGCCCTCCTCGGCCCGCGCCCCGCGTACACAGTGATTGACGTCGTCGTCGTCGTCGTCGTCGTCCGTCGTCGTCGTCGTCGTCGTCGTCGTCGTCGTCTGTCGTCTGTCGTCTGTCGTCTGTCGTCTGTCGTCTGTCGTCTGTCGTCTGTCGTCGTCGTCGTCGTCGTCGTCGTCGTCGTCGTCGTCGTCGTCCGTCGTCGTCGTCGTCGTCGTCGTCGTCGTCGTCGTCGTCGTCGTCGTCGTCGTCGTCGTCGTCGTCGTCGTCGTCTGTCGTCTGTCGTCTGTCGTCTGTCGTCTGTCGTCTGTCGTCTGTCGTCGTCGTCGTTCGTGGCCGTATAAGCGCGGGCACCGCAGCGGCGGGGCAACACCCGCCTCTGTGGGATCGCCCAGGGGCTGACCGCCCGGGGCTGCCGTTCAGTCCGGAAGGGGTTCTCGATGACGTGACGTTGGGGACGGCAGTGGCCAGAGATACCCGCGCCAGCAGGGCGGTGGCGCGGCAGAGGTCGTTGCCGAGCGCGAGCTGGAGGCGCTCGCTCTCCTCAGCCGTGCGCGTGCCGCATGCCCCATGTGAGAGGCGGACAGGTCGCGTTCCCTGGTAGGGCACCTCAACCTCATGGCTTGCTCAAGTGAGTGCTGCGGTGGCCCGCCGATGTGAGAGTGCTCTGATGTGGAACAGATGGAGTCCAGACCCGACGCGGCGGGCCGCCGTATCGATTCTGCGGCTAGGATTCGGAGCTCCTCTTGTATCCATCTGTCGTGTGCTTGAGGGTTCGGCTCCCCGATGTCGACTGCGTCGAAGTTTTTTCGTTTTGGGATCGCGATCGGTCGGATACCCGAGCGGAAGGCGTTCACGATCTAAGAGAGAGCGTGATCCACCGCCGCTTTACTGTGGAAAATTGCCAACCTTTTCCTCCGGAGCCCGGGGGTCGCCCACCCCCCCCCCCTCCGAAAATCCCCCCCCCCCCTGCTGGAACCCCTCACCCCCCCCCCCTCCCCCGGCAAAACCCCCCCCTCCCGTAACCCATCCCCCCTCCCCCTCGAAAACCGGGGGGGGTCACTACCGGTTCGAACCCCTCCCCCCCCCCCCTCCGGATCCGGAAAACCGGGGGGGGTCACTACCGGTTCGAACCCCCCCCCCCCTCGAAAACCGGAGGGGGATCACTACCGGTTCGAACCCCTCCCCACCCCCCCACTCACCGCCAGCAAACGACTCCCGGTCCCTACCACCGTCCGCATCACATCCTCCACTGTTGTTCCCAGCACCACTGTCCTCACCACCACTGTCCCCACTGTGTCCCCACCAGTGCCCCCACCACTGTCGCACTGTCCCCACTGTCCCCACCACTGTTCCCACCACGGTTCCACTCTCCCCACTGTCTCCACGGCCCCAACCACTGCCCGACTATCCCCACTGTCCCCACTGTCCCACTGACTCCGCCGCTGTCCCACTGAGCTGTCCCACTGTTCCCACCACTGTCCCCACTGTCCCCACCACTGTCCCCACTGTACCTCTGTCCCATTGTCCCACCGCCGTCCTCGCCACCGCCTTCACCACTGTCCCCACCACCGTTGTACCCTCCACTGTCCCACTGTTTCTCCCTCATTCCCACTGTGCCCACACCGCTGTCCCCACCACCACCGTCCCCACCACTGTCCACTGTCCCCCCTGTTCCCACCATTGTCCCCACCACTGTCCCCACCACTACCGGCCCTTTACTGTCCCACTGTCCCACTGTCCCCACCACTGTGCCGCTGTCCCCTCACCACTGTCCCACCAACACCGTCCCCACCTCTGTCCGCACCCCCACTCGGTTTTCGAGCGGGGGGGGGGGGTTCGAACCGGTAGTGACCCCCCCCCCTTTTCATGATGAGCTGGGGGGGGGGGGAGGGGTTCGAACCGGTAGTGAGTCCCATTAGCATGCGACCAGTTGAGCAGGAGGAGAGAAGCCGGTCAGACGTGCGCGGCCATGGCGCATGAGCCGTGCCGGAAGGCGCCTGGTCGCGCAGCCAGGACGGCGTGGCGTACGGTGTGCGCGAAGCGCGCCCGAGAGGAAGGCATGGTGGTGCCTGGCTGCCTCTGGCGCCAGCTCCGTTTCGCGTGCTTGGCACGGGTCAACGGCGCCAACTCCTGACCTGAAGAGCCACGGCGAAACGCCGTGCCGTTCCCGGGCTTGGGGGGCAACGCTCGCGAAGGGTGGTGGCACAGCCGTGCACGGAGGGCTCGGCCGCCGCCTTCGGGACGTGGATCCATCTCCCGTCGCTGCCTGGGCGGTCTTGCTTGCGTCGGGTCGTCGGAAGCAGGACCGAAACTCTCTGCAGGGGCGCCTAACTTTGCGCTTCGCGCTGCGCGAAGCATGAAGCACTTCGCGCTCTCGCACCGCCAAAAAACATGTTTTCAATGCTACCCTCCGTGTTTCAGCCCCTGGGGCCTTATGAGCCGCGCGTGGGGTGCTCTGGAGGCCGTGGCTGCCTCCTTGGAACTCCTGGGGTGCACTTTGGGCCAAGAGCACCTTTGACAATGCACAAACCATCGCGACGACAACGACGACGACGACAGCAGCGACAGCGACAGCGACGGCGACGACGACGACGCCAACGCCGCTGGCGTCCACGACGCCGACGCTGGCGACGACGACGACGCCGACGACGACGACGGCGGCGGCGGCGACGACGGCGACGACGACGACGACGACGACGCTGACACCGACGCCGACGACGGCCCCGGGGCATGAGCTGGTTTCATCGGCGCTGGTTTCGCCAGCGCTGGTTTCGCCGGCGCAGTTTTCGCCCCGCTGGTTTCGCCCCGCGAGTTTCGCGGGCGGCTGCTTGCGCTGGCGCTGGTTTCGTCGGCGCTGGTTTCGCCGGCTCCGTCGGCGTCGCCGTCGTCGCCGTCGCCGTCGTCGTCGTCGTCGTCGTCGGGCGTCAGGCGTCGTCGTCGTCGTCGTCGTCGTCGTCGGGCGTCAGGCGTCGTCGTCGTCGTCGTCGTCCGTCGCCGTTTTATGTCGCCGCTGCCGCCCTAGTCTTCGTGGTCGTCGTCGCCGTCGGCCAGGGCGGGTCATTTCTCCCTGAGCCCTCCGTCGTCGTCCTCCGCGGTCCTTCTGTGCAA